GTTTCCAGGACACAGCTGTGTATGTGGTGCTGGCGTCTACTTTACCTAGGAATTATCCAACTCTAGGATCTCCCTCTTTTTTTTTTTTTTTGGCTCACTGCAACCTCCACTTCCCCGGGTTCAAGCGATTCTCCTGCCTCAGCCTCCAGAGTAGCTAGGATTACAGGCGCCCTCTACCATGCTGATACTTGCTAATTTTTGTATTTTTAGTAGAGACAGGGTTTCACCATGGTGGCCAGGGTGGTCTCAAACTCCTGACCTCAGGTGATCCACCCTCCTCAGCCTCCCAAAGTACTCGGATTACAGGTGTGAGCCACCACACCTGGCCAGGATCTCCCTCCTTTTTAACAAAAATTTTTTCCATTGACTCAGACAAATCGTGACTCAGGTTGGTTTCTGAACAGCCGAAGTGAGAATTCTCTGGTATGTTTTGGGCAGGTAATTCGTGGTTTCGGAAGGACCAGGCAGGAATATGTGGGGTGGGGTGGCAGGGGGACATGTCTTGACTTTGTAGGAGGGGGTACGGTGAGCCTCGCTGTCACCTCCTGGCAGCTGGGGGAGGAAAAGATGGCATATTAGGGGCCGAGGGGGGCTGTCATTCCGGGTGCCCTGAACAAGATGCCAGTCTGCAAAACCTTTCTAGTTTCTTTCCCAGATGGAGTATTTTGTAGGGACAGGCTGGGGAGCAATGCACAGAGAGAAACAAGGAAGTGTTTTTTGCTTATATAAATCAGACCGGCAGAGACCAGAGCCAAACTCCTGTTTATCCTAGCCTGCTTGCTGCCTGATTGAAAGTAACCTCTGTTCCCACTCCAGAATCCTAGATTTGGAGAAAAATCTAAGTTGAAACCTCAGCGTGGCAGTTCCCAGCTGTACCCCCCATTTTTTAATCACCCCCTTCCCTCCCCAACTTAAGACCTTAAAGTTTTGGCTGTTTCCCTTTTTTTTTTTTTTTTTTTTCTTTCCTGCCCACTTTGTGAACGGGACGGAGGGACAGGGTCCCGGGACCCTGCAGATGGGAGCGTGCCCGAGGCCCTGCCTGCTCACCCGTTCCCCGGAGAGCCAGACAAAAAGAAACAGCGTGTTTCTGAAGACTTGTGTGTCAGGCTTTGTGCAGATTTCAGACAGGAGCCTTCACGGGGCTGAGTGGACACAAAGCCGGGTGTCTGAATTCCTGGGCCCCAGACACTGTGATCTGCATCTAAATAGAAGAAAAATCAATTAAACAATCTTTGGAAATCCCTCTGAGCTTCGGGGCTTCTCGGATGGTGAAGGATGGCAGGTTTTTATCCTGTGGCCGGAGAGGAAATAGCCCTTCTCCTTCGTTATCCTCTCTCCAGACCTGCAGTTGCCACTTTTTGCTCTCTCTCTCTTTTTTTTTTTTATCTGGAGACACCGTTTCGTTCTTGTTGCCCAGGCTGGAGTGCAATGGCACGGTGTCAGCTTACTTCAACCTCCACCTCCTGGTTCAAGCGATTCTCCTGCCTCAGCCTCCCTAGTAGCTGGGATTACAGCTGCACACCACCACGCCCAGCTAATTTTTTAATTTTTAGTTCAGACGGGATTTTGCCACATTGACCAGGCTGGTCTTGAACTCCTGACCTCAGGTGATCCGTCCGCCTCGGCCTCCCAAAGTGCTGGGATTACAGGCATGAGCCACTGTGCCCAGGCCCACTTTTCACTTTCTTCCTGAAGTTTAGGACACAAGATTCCCCCACCATTCCCCTGTTAAAAAGATGCCAACCTTCTCAGATCTGATTGTTTCACTTAAACAAAACAAAACAAAGTTTAACATATATACACCCAGGACACTCATTAGTGAAATTTTAGGCCTGGCATGATGGCTCACGCCTGTAATCCCAGCACTTTGGGTGGCTGAGGTGGGAGAATCACCTGAGGCATGGAGTTCGAGACCAGCCTGGCCAACCTAGCAAGACCCCATCTCTATCAAAAAAATACAAAAATTAGCTGGGTGTGGTGGCACATGCCTGTAGTCCCAGCTACTCGGGAGGCTGATATGGGAGGATGACCTAAGCCTGGGGAGGTAGAGGCTGCAATGAACCCTCGGTGTCACTGCACTCCAGCCCAGGTGACAGAGCTAGACCCTGTCTCAAAAAAAAAAAAAAAAAAAAAAAAAAATTTGACCAGGCACAGTGGCTCACGCATGTAATCCTAGCGCTTTAGAAGGCTGAGGCTGGTGGATTGCCTGAGGTCAGAAGTTCAAGACCAGCCTGACCAATATGGTGAAATCCCATCTCTACTAAAAATACAAAAATTAGCCGGAAATCGCTTGAACCCAGGAGGCGGAGGTTGCAGTGAGC